GTGTGGTTGTACTCAAATGAAATCGTAGGCTTCCACGGCCAGAGTCAGAATTATAGTTTATTCGTCTTCCGGGTTTGGACCGTGTCATTTGTGAGTGACCCAAAAGTGTGTTCATCTCCAAAGATGAACCCACTTTTGGGTCACTCACAAATGACACGGTCCAAACCCGGAAGACGAATAAACTATAACTGGTTGTACTCCTTTACCGTTTTATGACCCTGCACATTTCCTTTTCGATCAACATAACTTTTCCCTTCATTCCTTGCTCTCTTTACTCTGTTTCTTGCCCACTTATCCGTATTTCCGAGTTTTTTCTTACCTGAATACTTCTTGTTTACCTTTCAGTGAACTGGTTTAGCCATGTTGCCAGGTTCCTGGCTCGTACCTTCTGAAGACTCACTAGCTCTGTCATCTTCTGGTTCATAATCTCCATCGGTATCTCCTGAAAACCCAAAAAATTTTTATCCCAATAGCCTATAGTATAAAGATAGCTTAAGTAAAGCAAACAAAAAAACTCAGAAGCTGGCGCTCCGAGGAGTGCCCACAGAAGTGGAAACTTTTATAGCCACGATTATAGAAATTTTTATTATATTATATTGTTCAATAAACAAAATTGAAATAAGACTTTTTTGTATATCTTTTGTATAACTAACATTTTATTCACTTGATAACATTTTAAAACTTAAACGTATTTTACGAAAAAACCTTTTAAAATACGTCTAAGAACGACGAAAGGTAACATCAAAAATGAAGTTTTATTAACGTCTATGAATGATGAGAGGCAAAATCAACACGAACATTTTGTTTATTTGGTACCATTTTAAAACTTAAAATTTTGTACTTCACTTCAAAAAATTAGTTTACTTACCATTAAAATTAATGAGGTTTTGTAGGTCTTCTTGGTAGTGCACCATGTTTTCTATGTGCTTGGGATTCCATTTTTGTATTTAACCCAATTTCCTAAAAATTGTCACCTACACCCCTTGTGTTCTAGGGGCCTCATATTGTTAGCCGGTGTTTCGTTATAGAATACACAGTTTAATGCATTTTACATTGCAGACGTGAAGTAGTGGCCCCAACGGATATCTTAAAGCACGTTAAACAAAACATTTTATTGCATCCGGTGCACATTGTTTGTACTTGAGTTGCAAATTTGATTTTTCCGTCAACCACAGTTCGTTTTTTGCCATATTTTTTGTAGCATTCCGAACACCTTCCTTCAGTTTTTCGTGGTGGGTCTCCCAATCATTTTTTAAATTAATTTGTGTCCAAGCTTATGCGGATTTGGCGGTGGTAGTACATCAGTTGCGTATTTTTGCAACATAGAACGGATTACAAGTTCCTTAAATTCAGTAATTTTAAGGGACTCTGCATTCTCAAATCATTATTGTTAGTAGATGTATATTGTACCCCCAAAATGAGGAGGAGAGACAGCTGGCAGTCTAGACAATATCTGGTCTAAAAATAACTTAAGGTTAATGACCTATATCTAAAAATAGCTCAAGGGTCAATTAACTGGATATCCGTTAGTCGAGACAATACCCGGTCTAAAAATAACTTAAGGTTAATGACCTATATCTAAAAATATCTAAAGGTCAGTGACCTGGCCATATTGTGTGTCTAGACAATATCCGGTTTAAAAATAACTTAAGGTTATTGACCTATATTTAAAAATAGCTAAAGGTCAGTGACCTGGCCGTCTTGTGTGTCTAGACAATATCCGGTCTAAAAATAACTTAAGGTTAATGACCTATATCTAAAAATAGCTATAGGTCAGTGACCTTCCCATCTCGTGTGTCTAGACAATATCCGGTCTAAAAATAACTTAAGGTTAAAGACCTATATCTAAAAATAGCTCAAGGGTCAATTGACTGGATATCCGTTAGTCTAGACAATATCCTGTCTAAAAATAACTTAAGGTTAATGACCTATATCTAAAAATAGCTGAAGGTCAGCGACCTGGCCATCTCGTGAGTATAGACAATATCCGGTCTAAAAATAACTTAAGGCTAATGACCTATATGTAAAAATAGCTGAAGGTCAGCGACCTGACCATCTCGTGAGTCTAGACAATATCCGGTATAAAAATAACTTAAGGTTAATGAAATATATCTAAAAATAGCTGAAGGTCAGCGACCTGAGCATCTCGTGTGACTAGACAATATCCGGCCTAAAAATACCATTCGATTAACATCGTCTAAATATAACATGGAGGGGTTAATATTCACATAACATATTTAAGGCAAATTGGTGGGGGCTCCTCAGTAGTTTATCGGGAATCATGAATACGTGTAGTATGTGCAATAAATCGTTTTCGCGCTCGGATAACTTATCGCGACATATGAAAACATGTAAATACAGAAATGTGAATAGTCATAATGACCATAATGAGGATTATTATATTCCCAAAAAAAGATTAAGACCGCTTAATTTGGAAGTGATAGATGGCAAAATCCACAAGGAAAAAAATTCCTGTAGCTGGCTGTGTACCACGCATCACCAAAAAGATGTTAGTCTTCGTAAATGGGTATATTTATTTAAAAAACCGTTACCGTTATTTAAAAAACAGTTACCAGCTGTTCTCCGTGTGTAGAGGTTCTCTCACCGGCTCTGGAACTCGCTTCAGCCATGTGTTACCTGTAGCCAAATTTAATTTAATACTGAACATCACAGTTATTTTACAACACGATGTATAATCTTTTATAACTAAATGTAATTTAAAGGGTTTTTACCCTAGTATTTTGGTGGCTCAGGCATTGTGACCTAGCATTTTTTTCGATTTTAAAACCTGATGATGGACTGTGTGGTCCGAAAACGTTTGTTTTATTGATGTAGCCCTTTTAAGAGTTTTTTAAATAAATATACCCATTTACGAAGACTAACCTCTTTTTTTGATAGATGGCACTATTTCAAAATTGACACATGCGTTTAAAAACAGAATTGCATCTTATCGTTTTAATAGTGATAAAAAGCTGGAATATTATAGATTTTTAAAAGATGTTAAACCCAAAGTTTTAAGAATCTTATGTGAATATCTACATCAGCACAATATAGTGATGTGCTTAGAGGTTATTTTTAAATAACCGTTATAACCGTGGAAGTTATTTTCGGATAACTGTTATTTTAAACAGTTATCAGTTATTTAAGTTATTCAAGTTATTCAAGTCAAAATCTGACCAAGTTCTTCTTGGATGTCCCAATATTTATATAACCGGCTTAGAGTTTCTCCTTGAATAAGGGTCATAAAACAAAATTTGTCTATTTTTATGACTCTAGGAAACTGAACCCTTGAACGTGTTTTATGTGCTTTAACAGATATTTAAAATAGTAAACTATTTACAGAGTGGTACAAATAAAATTTTTTAAAATTGTAATATTTTTATTTTAATACGTGCATATGTGGTAAAACGCTGGTTTGCAATAAATCGATGTATTGTTTTATTTTCACAAGCATTTTGTTAACTTCTTGTGATGAAAAAAAAGGACTTTAAAAATTTAAATCATTTAGTTAATAGTTTACTGAAAGGACGCTTAAAATTTGTTTCTCAAACAATATCGTCAGTTTTTATTTTAATTATTTGACTAAAAACAAAAACATATATATTGGACTTAGGTATTAATTAATTATTGGACTATTCGACTTATTAATATGTTTTTAATTTATGCTCAGAGTATTTTTTATTTAAATATATACAGAAAAGACCAAGAGTCTCCTACAAATATTTGGGTCTTCTTCCTTCTACTATCACAGTCATGTCTTGATATTTTCAATATTTAAAAAAAATTTATTGAATCATATTGTATTAAAACGTTAAAGGTAATATTGGAAAGGAGATTTTACAAAAATTTAAAGCAATCTTGAAAAAAACAGTTACCAGATTCTTTCTTATGTAGTTCAAGTACTAGGTAAAATATTTTCCGAACTATTTCATTTAGAACCAAATATTATTGTAAATTTGAAAAACGCCTATTATATCAATTAATGTCGAAAGAAATTTTACCATTTACAAATATATGTACCTACTCAGACCGAAGTCATAAATTTTTGTTAGACAATTTTAAACAGCTTTTAATTGTAAAATTATTTAATTAATTTAATTAATTTTAAACTTTATCGTTACTAAAATTAGAAGTAATATCATTTACTTATTTGTCCAAATTCTTAAATATTAAGTTAAATAAACGTAGTTTGTAAAATAAATAAATGTTAATTACTATAAAATATGAGGATATTGTAAATAAAACGGATAAGTATTACTTCCTGAGTTGTTTATAATTTTTTATTCTTATACGCAAATTTTCTACATAGACATGCATATCTTTGTGTAAAATACTTTTAAAATATATATGCGAATATTTCATACGTTTTTATTTGCAAATTTGCCCCAATCGAGATAAAATATTTTTGGTATAATCTAGAAAAATAAATAAGATTGTATACATATAACGATTACTTCAGTCAACTAACAATAAAATCAAGATGTCATGAATAAAGTTTATTATTATTATAATTACATCAATCAAATATAAAATCAATTTTCAATACCAGAATTGGAACTTAAAAAAAGTAGTTGTTGGACCTTCGTTGAACCAAGTCTGCTTCGTCTATCAGACAACAATTGACCGGCTTTGGAAAACAACCGTTCACAAGGCACCGATGTAGCAATAGCACAACACTTTTTCTGAACCATCTGGCTAATGTAAGGGTAGTTGTATCTATTATGACGCCACCAGTTCAAAGGATTTTCCTGTCTCGGCAAAATGTCTGCTTCCAAATAACGTTGGACTTCGATAATAGCGCGGGACGTTGCCGTGCCTTTGGGTTGATTCACGGCAGCTGCTTTTTCAATTGTTCTCCAAACTGATATGTCATCATCGTCTTCATTATTTTTTTGTTCCATTTCTTCTTTAAGAGGCTGGTTCATTTCATAAACTTCTTGTGATATGAGTTTTGTTATATATCCTGTAACCTTTTTTTTGTATTGTCCCCATAGTTCTGGTTAGAGAATTTTGAATCGGGGATCCAAAAAGGTACATATAGCTAATGTTTGGCTATTTTGGATGTTTTCAAATCGTTCTCTTAGGCCTTTTTCTAAGTCTAGGATAACATTCATAGCAGTTTCTGAATACGTTTTCTGTTTTAAATGACCACAAACATCATAGAGACCATTGATTAAAGGTATTACGTACGAAGCTGTATTGTAATTTTCCCCACTTATTATTTTTGTTACTTTTTCGAATTGTTTTAAAATTTGGCACAGTTGTTGGGATATTTTCCATTCCTCTGCTGTTAATGTTTCAAGATTATGGTCAATTAATGCCATGGTACTTTTAACTATATCCTCTAATTGATTAAATCTTTCCAACATGTAAAAAACTGAGTTCCACCTAGTAGGTACTGCCTGTAAAAGTTTCAGAGCTGGTCCTGCGTTTTGTGTTTGATAATTCATTAACTTTTCGTTAGACAAACAACTACGTTTAAAATAACCAACAATCAATTTTATTTTTTGAATTATATTGTCAACTTCTGGGATAGCTATAGAATGTTTTACCACCAAATTCAATGTATGAGCAAAGCAGCCAAAATGTTTCCACTGCAATTCTTTTTTTATGGCTCCAACTATACTGGGAGCGTTATCAGAAACGACTAGTAATATGTTGTCAATAATGTCCCATTCATTATATATTTTTAGTATATTTTGGCTCAAATTTATGCTAGTGTGGTGACCTGGCATTGTAGAACATTCTAATAAAATCGACTTAAGCTGAAAGTTTTCATCTAAAAAATGGGCTGTTACCGCCATATAGCTTTCCGTATTTCTCGACGACCAGTTGTTAGTAGTTAAACAAACTGTTTTTGCGTTTCGTATAATTTGAATGCATTTATTGCGACATTCTTCATACAAAGCCGGCAATAATGTTTTCGATATTACTTTCCTATCAGGGAGTTGATAAGACGGATTTAAAATTTTAACAAATTCTCTAAAACCTTTGTCCTCAACTACACTAAATGGTTGAAGATCAAGTGTAAAAAGTTGTAATCATTTTTGATCAATAAGTTTTTTTGTTGGTAGACTTAATTTTTTCGGTTTCATAGTAGAAATTTTCATTTGACTTAAGCCTTTTGAGGTAGATGGTTGAACAACTTGAACAGAAGTCATTTTAGATGTTGAAGGTAAATCGGTACTTACAGAAATATCATTATCAAAGAAAGATCCATCTTGTGTTTTTGTGGTATGATAATTTAAATTAACCGTTGGATGAAGAGATGACATATGTTTCTTCAAATTGGAGTTTGTTGATTTGAACGATAATTTCTTCTTGCATATATTGCATGTTGCAAAATAGCCGTCATTTTCAATAGGCGTGAAAAAGTTCCAAATTTCACTAGTCTTCTGCCTTTTTATGTGTTGCGACATTTTAATTTACTGTGTGTATTAGACAGTATCTGAACAAAATAAACACTTTAAAAGTCTATGCCTTCGTAACCGAAACTACAAGTTTTAACAGAATCAGATAGTATCTGAACAAAATAAACACTTTAAAAGTCTATGCCTTCGTAACCGAAACTACAAGTTTTAACAAAATCAGATAGTATCTGAACAAAATAAACACTTTAAAAGTCTATTTTTTCGTAACCGAAACTACAAGTTTTAACAGAATCAGATAGTATCTGAACAAAATAAACACTTTAAAAGTCTATGCTTTCGTAACCGAAACTACAAGTTTTAACAGAATCAGAAAGTATCTGAACAAAATAAACACTTTAAAAGTCTACGCCTTCGTAACTAAAACTACACAGTTTATCAGATAGTCTCTGAATAAAATTAACACTTAGAAAGTCTAAACAGACTCTACACAATTTTATTGTTTTAAATTTGATACAATACAATACAACAAATTGTACTTTCAAGACAATGCCACAATACCACCTGTATACGAACTGCTCGACTAACGTTATCACAGCGAGGGTAAAACATACTAAATTAAATTACTAACTAATGTTATAATTTCAAATAATTTTCATCCCCTTCCAAATCAAAGGTAATTTATATCTGGAAATACCAAGCCGCAATTTACATCTAACCATCCTAACCATCTTTCTACTATCTATACAAATTTAAAAGGAATTTTGGCGTAGAAATATCAGATTGTATTGTCGAAATAAAATATGCTAATTAAGTTTCTAACTGTCTACGAAATGCTAATTACTAATCCATTCATTCATTGCATGTTAGTCTCCTTATTTCTAATCAGCTTCAGGACAATATCCTTATTTTTATTATTGACATCATATAACAATATAATGAATTTGCATTTTTTGTTGACAATAATTTTAATTTCGAAATAAGAAAAGGATAATAAGAGAATAACAAAATCCTTCCTTGAATTACATTCCGAATCCGAAAATTGTTTAGAATTCTACTTTTTGCAATGTATCTTTTGTAAATCAGGTACTTTTGCTCTATGCTTAAGATTAATATATACCCATTTTAGTATGATATAATGATATTACTAAATAATTACTACGTAATATTTCGTACATATCTACATCTACGGATATTTCTTACTCTCGCTTCTAAAACGTAATTTCCGCATTGGGCCAATGCTTTTTAAATGCATTCATTTTTTCGGATCCTGAGAAAACTAACAAATATTTTTGAAAAATTTAAACGCAGAATGAAAGATTACATTATTATCGGGGGCCGAAAGTCCCTTAGAATAAACAAATTTTTTTTTTGAATGAGATATTTGAAATTAAAAATCACACTAAATTTTCTCTTCTTTTCACCCCTGTAACTTACTAAAATAAACATTATAGAAGTTTTCAGGGACTTTCGGCCCTCTGTAATAATGTATTCTTTCATTATGCGTTTAAATTTTTCAAAAATATTTATAAGTTTTCTAAGGATTCAAAAAAAAATGAATGCATTTAAAAAGCTTTGGCCCGAAATATTTCGCCTACGCTCTTAACTGTCTGAATAACCGTGTACCAGAATAACCGTCTATCAGAATAACTTAGTAGTTACTCTAGTAACGTACACCGGCGTTAAAATATTGACTGTTATTCTCTGATAGACGGTTATTCACTGGTAGACGGTTATTCAGGCAGTTAAAATGCGGAAATTAGGCATAAGAAGCGAGTAATACCGAACTGAGCTCGGTATGTTGCAATACTATTAACAGAATGATCTTTTACTCAAGTAACTGACTTGATATAAAAAATAACTGAATAACTGGTAACTTATTTATTGGATAACTATTAGTCACTGTTATTTGTCAGTAACCAGTTATTAATAACAGTTCCTGTTATATCGTCACTTCTCTAAATACGATTAAAGTAAATTTTGAAATATTTGCTATTTATTTAAAACCTGACACCAATCTATCAGATATCAAGTCCATGAACGCATGCAATAAAATTATATCTATCAGCACTGAACTGGATGAAGCCTTTGATGATTTTAAGGAAGCATTGATGACACAAGCCTCAGAATTTCAAGAAAAAGATTCAAATTGGGTATTACAAGAAATAATGTTTTTAGATGTTAACATCAACAAATTTAGTAGTATTTCTGCATCAACGTATATTCGTCTCCCAACCCCTTTTACAAGAAAACACGCTATTTTAAATATAGAAAACAAAGATAATAAGTGTTTTGCGTGGAGTGTTATGACAGCTGTTTTTCCTGCCGCTGGTAACCCAACTAAACCAGAATCATATCCACCATACGATACTTTATTGAATTTTGAAGGTATTGACTTTCCGATGAAACTAAAAGACATTAAAAAGTTTAAAACTCTTAATAATATTTCAGTAAATGTTTATGGGCTAGCATCTAATCTCGTAACTAATAAACGGCAATATGAAATAGTTGGGCCCCTGTATTTTACAAGTAATCGCCATGCCACTCATGTGAACCTTTTGCTTATCACAAATGATACACAAAGTCATTATTGTCTGATTTTAGACATGTCGAGACTTGTAAGAAGTCAAAAAAACAAAAAACCATCGAAAAGGATACTTATGTGATGGATGTCTACAATTCTTTTTTTTTTTTTATTAACAAAATCGCATCAGCCAAATTGGCTATTAGCGAACAATCATTTTTATTACATTTATAACATTAGTTTATATAGCATTTAAAATATTAAGTGAGGATAAGAAACTTTTTTTTGTCAAGAGCAAATGAAAATTACCCACCCAGACGAACTCTATTATCGGTCCCAGTGGGAAATAGGAGTAGAGGCAGACCACGACTGAGATGGAGGGACGGTGTGGACGAGGACGCAAGGAAGATCGGCGCGGCAAATTGGCAACGGTTGGCGATGAACAGAAACGACTGGCGAAATAGACTGGGGAAGGTCAAGGCTCAACTAGAGCTGTAGCACCACTGATGATGATGATAAGAAACTTTTTATGTTTGAAATATTGCACTGTAAACCTAAAATGTCACTTAGTTTGTTTGGTATACTGTACAATATGCGCTTTGGCGTTAATGCTGGACATTTTTCCAATATATGTTTGACTGTTATTTTTTCATCACAGTTGTCACATCTTGGTTCTTGTTTATTAGAGAATACGTAGCTATTCGTTAGTCGCGTATGACCCAGTCGAAGTCGCGTTAATATTACCTGGTCTCTTCGACTTGTTGGTAATGTGGGCCAGGGTTTAATCGATTTTTTTACATCGCGTAGCTTTGTCGATGACACTTTCCACTTTTCATTCCACATATATCGCACTTTAAATTTAACCGTTGCTTTCACGTCCGCACTCGTAAATATCTTAGTACATTCCGCACTATCACTACTTGCAGCTTCTTTTGCAGCGTTGTCTGCCTCTTCATTTCCTGGAATTCCAATATGGGATGGTATCCAAAATAATATAATATTTTTTCCATTCAGTTGAGCGGTGTGGATTTCTTCTTTTATCTTGATGACTAAAGGATTAGTTGGGTAGACATATTGGATTGACTGGACTGAACTTAGAGAGTCTGTGAGTATGATATAATTGGTGTTATTGGATGCATTGACAGCAAGGGTAGCCTGGTATAGAGCATACAGTTCAGCAGAGTAAATGGAGTACTCTGAAGGGAGTTTATATTTATTTGTCGATGTTGGGGTTATGATTGCAGCACCAGTACCTTCATCTGATTTAGATGCATCTGTGTATATATGTGTATAGTCCTTGTAGTTGTGAAGCATATCGTTGAAGGCGGATTTGAATAACTGTGGGTTTGTTGAATGTTTATCGAAAGAAATGAGGCGGGTTAGGCACTGAGGATTCTTTATTTGCCATGGAGGAATTGAGGACAATTGGGAAGAAAAGCATTCTGGGAACGTGTAGTTTAATTGATTTAAATAGCTTCTAATCCTTGCGTAGAAAGGTTTGGCAGTTCTTGGCTTATTTATGAAGAGATTTGGAAACTTTTCTGTAAAACAATTGTTAATGGTAGGGTTTTTTGGGTTAGACCTGATTTTTGCGGCATATGCTACACTTAAATAAAGTCTTCTGTCTTCTGAGGACGGTTCACCAACTTCACAATAAATACTTTCGATTGGTGTTGTGCGAAAAGCTCCAGATATTATACGTAAAGATAGGTTGTGAAGACTGTCAAGTTTTTTTAGCAGTGTCTTAGTGGCTGTAGAGTACACAGTAGATCCATAATCTAATTTTGATCTGATTAATGTTCTGTATAACATTAAAAGTGTTTGGCGATCCGCACCCCATTCTTTATTGGCCAGAGTTTTAAGAAGATTTAATCGCTTGTGACAAGATAAGATCAAATTTGTTATATGAAGTTTCCAGCTTAAATTTTCTTCAAATGTCATGCCCAAGAATTTTATTGACGTTACACGTTTTAGGTCCTCATCACATAGTCTTAGGTTAGGGATGTTTGTGACATTTTTCTTAGAAAACAGGATGAAACGAGTTTTTTCAGTGGAAAAACAGAAACCTGTTTTTTGTGACCAGAGTTCTAAGTGTTTTATGAAGTTCTGTGTATGATCAAATATGTTTTGTATATTTTTACCTTTGCAGAAAACTACAAGATCATCCGCGTAGACGCGTGCCTTTATGGGTGATTTTAGATTTATGAGAATATCATTCATTGCCACTATAAAGAGCGTAGGACTTATTACCGAGCCTTGAGGAATGCCATTTTCTGGATACATTATATCTGATGTTGTGTTGTTAGTCCT